AGGCATAAAACATTCAACAGTCATGCCAATACAAAGCTGATGAGGTTTTTCTGAAAGACGTTATTTTTAAAAGGATTTAATTGGCATTTATATTTTCTTTGACCCATTACATTTTATAATTTCTTTGGTAGGGGAGTCATGGTCCATTAATTTTATTCTCTTGTTCAAAAGGAAAATTTCAGTATACGTAGAGATGTAGACTACTGTTGAAATAATTAACAATTCTATTATTAATAGCATATATGGCACTTTTTATCTTCAAAGCACTATATGAACATTAACTGATTAATATTCATAATACCCCTGTAAGGCAAGTATTATTACCCCCATTTTACAGATAAAGAACCTGGGGCAAAGAGATGATGCAAGTTTGCCAAACTATACAGTAGGAGGCAAGTGTCAAAGGCAGGCCTAGAACTCTATAGAGTCCCTGCCACCCACTCTCCCTGCTTCTGAACAAGAGGGATTAGGCATACATATAGCTGAGAACAGAAGGCCAATCTTGGTAAGGTACAACATCTAAGGCAGGGGTGGGCAAACTTTTTGGCCCGAGGGCCACATCTGGGGGTGGAAATTGTATGGCGGGCCATAACTGCTCACAAAATTGGGAGTTAGGGTGTGGATTCTGGGGTGGGGCCAGAAATGAAGAGTTCAGCGTGCAAGAGGGGGTTCCGGGCTGGGGCAGGGGTGTGGGTGGGGGGGTGAGGGCTCCAGCTGGTGGTGCAGGCTCTGGGGTGCAGGAAGGTGGGACCAAGGGGTTCGGAGGGTGGGAGGGGGATCAGGGCTGGGGCAGGGGGTTGGGGTGCTGGAAGGGGTCAGGGGTGCAGGCTCCAGGTGGCACTTACCTCAAGCAGCTCCCAGAAGTAGCAGCATGTCCTCTCTCCGGCTCCTATGTGGAGGCGCGGCCAGGCAGCTCTGCGCGCTGCCCGGTCCGTAGACGCTGCCCCTGCAGCTCCCATTGGTCGCAGTTGCCGGCCAATGGGAGCTGCGAGGGCGGTGCTTGGGGCTGGGCCAGCGTGCGGAGCCCCCTTGCTGCCCTACATGTAGGAGACAGAGGGGGGACATGCTGCTGCTTCTGGGAACCACGTGGAGCCACAGCACGCGTGGAGTGGGGCAAGCCTCAGACCCCATTCCCTGGCAGGAGCTCGAGGGCAGGATTAAAACGTCTGAAGGGCCGGATGTGGCCCCCAGGCCATAGTTTGCCCACCCCTGATCTAAGGAGACCACATTTGACTTTTAGGGAGATAAAATGTGGAAGAAGCTGTAAGACATTTTTTTTAAACCCCTTTTAATATTCTTTTCTGTAGCTAGTTTAGGGCTGGTGAAAGTGTCAAATTGATTCTCCTGGAGTCCTACCTCCTCTGTCTACAGAACAGACATAGAAAAGGCTGCAGCAGTCAGTGGAAGCTTCCCCACATTGGCAAATCAGTGTTCAATTGCTCTCAATCTGAAATGATAATAGGTTTAGCTCAGTCTTCATAACAATTTTGTCCTTGGACGAAGGGTGCTGGAATCTTTGTAGAAGTGTGTGTGCGTGTGTATGTGTGGGGAAGAGGGGGGCGCAAAGGCCAAAGGGCCCCCTCTCTCTCTCTGTGGCTGGCTGCTCCGGTGGTGAGCCCACTGCCCTCTCTTTTGGTGCCACATCAGCCCCTGACGGGTGAAAGCTGTAACTGCAGTGCCTCCCTGGCAGAAGTTATCATTCTGCAGGAAACACGAACTCTGCACTTATGTTTCTTCTGTTAAAAAGTGGGGGCCATGGTCCCCTGGCTCCCCGATTCCGGCACTGGTGCCTTGGACTCTCCATTAAGACTGCCAACAAAAAGATTGATTAGTGCTAACTGTGCTTCTGGTTTTCGGATGTAAACACTTGACCAGCAGGAACTGGACTGAAAGCATCAATTTATTTCACTCAGTTTATCAAGCAGAAATCAGATAGTCAAAGCCAGACTTTCTCTCTCTAAGTGATGTAAATGTTGAAAGAGTTCATCAGTGGGTTTTGTGGATGAGAGTTAGAGTTAGTGAAATGTGTATGGTGAATTTTTACATGTCAATATTGTTGTTAAGTGAGCGAGAAGGTTTATTCAGTTTGCTATGGCAGTTTTATGCATATTCAATCAATCCATTAAATATTATTTTTTTCTGAATATCCAAATTCTGCAATATGTAATAATTTTTACAACGGCCTCTAATAGGTGTCCCAGAAGAGCTCCTTCACAGCTGTTCTGTAAACTGAATGCATCGGATATAAATCTTCCTTTCCTCACACAGTATTAGTGAGCTAGACTCTTAGCTCAATCTGTTCATCAGTACAACAGTTTCCTCAGAAAGCTCAATATCTAATCTAATGTTTATTAATTAAGCAATAAGACATGACAGATTGTGCAGCAACCCTAATTAATGGACACCTCTAGTGCCTGACGCACATCCAAGAAGTGCATTAATCAGCATTACCACAGATCTGAAATGACATAACACAATAATAAAATGGTTATTTATGGAAACGAGTCACATTTCTCAAATCGAGTAAGTTTTTAAGAATACATATTATGCTGTTGGTAATGTTACAAAATGTATGGTCAACATTTTCAATCTAGGTGCCTAAAGGTCAGCTCCTAAATTCATACTTAGGCAATTAAATAGAAGTTGCCCGATTTTCAAAGGTGCTGAGCCTCTACAGTTCCAAATGACTTAACTAGTATTTATGGGTGCTTATAATTTCTGAAAATCAGATCACTTTTATTCAGATGCCTAAATATCACTTGATCAGACTAACTGTAGACTCTTAGGTTGAAAATGTTGATCTGGGTAAATACTTTCCTATATGCTTGTGTTAGGGTGATCTGTGACAGCGAATTAAAAAATTCTAACAATTTTGACCACCGGTGCTGAAGCCCACAGTAGCCAATCTAGAAAGGGCATTTTGTATATTAACAGAATATAACTTCTTATTTTTTTCTTGTTGCTCAGTGAAGACCCAACAGGCATGAGGTGAAAGCTATCTGGGACATGGGTTTGGCCAACTGAAGGCCAAGTACTATAAGTGTCACTTAAAAAAACGTATTGCAAGATTTTCCAAAACAATCATAATAGCTGATATCTTTGCAGATCTGTAAAAAATATAAACTATTTCTGAAGTGATGTAAATGGTGGTGTCAGCTAGATGTAGGTAAGTGGACATAAGGAGATACATTTACACACTAATGTAGCAGAAATATGGAGAATAGCAGGAAAAGCAACTAACAAAGAGAGTGTGGAATGGTGTCAGAAAAAGGTCCCAACCTTAATTTGTTAATATTTTTTTTCTGCTGTATCTCCTTCCATCCTTCGGTATCTAGGGTATGCTTGTACTGTCTTTCTGATGAGCGAGTAACACCACCATATATAACACCTCTGAATTTGGTTTAGAATGTCAGCTCATGTAGCTATTGTCCTTTTTGTTACAACAGGACCTGTGATTCTCCGTATTTATGCAAGACTTGTCAGCAAAAGTTTGCACGGTGTCTTTTATACATCTGCTCTGTGCACACTCCCCCTACCCCCACTTCCCTCGCCAGAACTACAGTATCACTGACTTTTGGGAAATTCATATTATTTCTGTAAAACAAACTCATGCCTACTTAGAGTTACTTACTGTGCTAAAACATAGGCCACAATATGCTGCAAAGGTAGGTTTACGTACTGCATGTCTAACTCTTTGGAATTTTCCAATGCAATTTAAAGCCACTGAATGTTTGGAATGTCACATTTACTTCTTGTTAACATCTTGCTCAAATTAATGAAACTTCATCACATTATATTGGGAAAAACATATTGTTCTGCATCCCAATGATATATGTCTTGGTACAGCACGATGATGATTATATGGCAGTATTGCCATGACTGATTTTTTTTTCTGCTGGAACATTCTGAAAAAATTCTGAAAAAAGTGGCTTCCTTAATAAAAATACCTCTGTCAAACCTCTTTTTGACAAATCAGCCTGAAACTCACAGAAGTTATCAATCAGCTTGGAGTGACAACATCCTTGCAATAATGTAAAAAATAATCATCTAGAAAGGTTTTGTGATACAGAGATATATCTACACTATGCAGGGCATGAGGAGTGATAAGAATGTGTGGTAAGAATGGGGTGGCTGTCATTCTGCACCATGACAGGGAGATTGTCTCTTGAGTGAGGCTTAGACATGCTGTTCTAAGCTATGGGGTGCCATCCTCAATTGCAGTACTTGTGGAAAACTTAACTTGTGATAAAAATTGCCCTATCTCCTTCAGTGTTGCAGTTTACAGGACAAACTTTCAACTTCCTTAGAAGATAATGTTTGTTCTAGTTAAGAAGAACATTTACGGTATATAGTTGAAACTTTTTTTGAGCAAATGGCAGAGAAAAATATATCACTTTATACCTTTACACTGTCTTGTACAAAATGTAAAACTACAGGTAGTTTGTAAAGAAAACATTGTATATTAATTATTAAAAAGCAGAACTAGAAATATTCTTCTCACGGCAGCTTCAAATTGTATCCCATTAGCCCCAGGCATGTTTTGGGATTGACCACCTAAAGTATGTTCATTGAAGGGCACCATCAGGGTGCTGTAGATATATTGGACCAAACTGATCACTGGTATAACACCACTATTCATGGAGGAATTGAGATATTACTTTGTTGAGCAAACTGTATCCTCAGGTGCAGGCACAAGGCTCCCACTGACTTGGATGGAAGCTGCACACATCCGATCCCAGAATCTGGCAAACTGATTAGGACTTTTTGTGGTGTGGCTTTAGCCCTTCCAGGAAGCCAGTCAAAATTTTACTTATAGAGAGGCAGATCCTCAGCTGGTGTAAAACAGCAACATTTCATTGAAGTCAGTGGAGTTAAGTTGATTTATACTAGCTGAGGATCTGATCGAGAAAGTAAATAAGATAGCAAAAAATGATAGGGGTAACAATCATTTGCAAAGAACATTTAATCAGAGTGGGAGATCGGTCCCATGCAGTACTTACATCCTGATTAGACATCTCCCAATATGGTCTTTCTCCATAGGACATCACTTCCCACATGACAATCCCATAGCTCCATGCATCACTTGCTGAAGAGAACTTTCTGTAGGCTATAGCTTCAGGGGCAGTCCATCTTATGGGGATTTTTCCACCCTGGAAGACATATTAAAAACTTCTCAGTATCACTAGAATACAGAATTGCAAGTACCTTAAAAATAAATAAATAAACCCCCTCACTGTTGAGGTTCCATATTCTGCTGTCTGTGAAATAGACTGACAATACAGTTTTGCCTTGGCAATTTACTATAAATGACAATGTTGGTATTGGTGGCCTGTGGTATGCAGAATCTCAGACTAGATGATCTGGTGGTCTTTTCTGGCCTTAAACTCGATGACACTACTATTACAAAAAGCATTTGCAAAAATTCGATCACCACAGTTCAAATATTTACCCTCTAACAAATTCACACTGTGGAGGTCTTTTGCATGATGATATATTTATACACTATAATCAGTTATATTTTATCTATTACATTTTGTATCTGGAAAATTCTTTTGCATTTTTAAGAGTAAAATGAGTTTTTTCCTGATGCATTCCTTCAACAAAAATCTGTGTTAATTATCACTGATTAGAGGAGCTCCTCGAAAAAAAGTTTATTTCTTGAAAGTAGTGTATTCATAGTGCCACTAGATGGCAGAATGGGCCAGTCAGAAGAATAGAGAACTAATCCTAGCTGTTTTTCAATGTATTGAGAATAAAGATTGTTCAGTGTGAACACTATTTCTGGAAGAAAGAAAATAAATTAATTACAACATAGTTTTGGATGCTGAAGAAAAGTCAGGCAGTTTTTAAAAAAGGAAGCAAATTTACACTGTTAATCTATTTTGCTCATGTGGAAAATTATTGGTCAATAACTTGTCAAGATGATGATGACTCATAATGCCATTGCTGCATCAGAAAGTATTGCAAGGCAAAAATATATGCATGTGGGCATCTTGTTTGAATGTTATTATTCCCTTTATTAATTATAATCGCTGTGACAAACCAATGTAGCTAGTTAATGTCGTTATGGTTCATAAATGATTGTAGCTAAGATGCCCTTTGTGGGGTTTATATCTTTTTATTTAAGCACTGTGGTTTTGTAAAAGACTTTGGCTATTCAAATTTGGCCTAACTCGGTCTACTCTAAAGTCAATGGCAAAACTCACTTTGACTTTAATGGGAGCAGAGTTAGGCCACTAATGCTGAATTGCTTTTTAAAATCTCATGCTCTATCCCATTTATTTAGAGCTATACTGAGCCATTTAGGCACTGTGATTTTAACCTGGGGTGCTAGTATTGATTTTTCCTTGGACTTTGTGAGGATGAACAAAGGAAAGACATCTTCCATCCTTGGGGCCACAGAAAAGACAGAAGGCCCAATACAGAAGTTAACATATTTGGGAATTGAATTGGATACAAGGCAGCATGTATCACAGCTACCCAAAGAAAAGCTAGATAATATAAGGCTGTTGATAAGGGTACTCAAAGGTTCTAGGAAAGTTATACTAAAATGGGTTCAGGTGATCATGGGGCACTTAAACTTTGCATAGAGAGAGGTGGTGCTGGGTAGGGCCTCATAATTTTGTCAGGGTGACCATAGAAATGAGGGAAGATTTGGAGTATGGGAAACATTTTTGGAACAGTTTAGTGGGCTAACAATCTGGTGATCCAATTGGATACTGGAATCGGAGCTTCAGGTAGAATTGGATACCTCGGGGGGAATCTGTTGTAGACCGTATTACCAAGGGAGCACAGAGGTAGCCTGAGTAGTGGGCAATGCAGGTTGCAACAAGAGATGTCCCATTTGAGTTTTCCACTAATACTGGTGGCTTCCAATATGTAGGGCCAGCAATTTAGAAATAAATGGGTTTGTTTTTGGTACAACATTCAGGCAGTAGTCACATTATTACCTGGCAGTCAGCATTGGAGGGTTTTGACTCCCGTGAGTCCAGGCAATTGGGCACTGGAAATTGGACTGTTACAGGACCTGTGCTCCCTTTGATGGGTGACTGGGGAAGGCAAAGATGAGCTAATGTTGTCTGTCTGTGATTGCAGGAGACATCAGAGACAAGGTTGATGTTTGGATTTTCAGGCACCCTATTGTGCATTGGGTCCACACGCAGGCAGCCAGGTTGGCAGATGGACTGCAGCTAAGCTTCAGGACTGAGGGTGTCTGCCTTCAATGGTTTGGCAGAAGGGGCTCATTCTGGAAGCAGCTCATGTCTCTTCTGCACTTATTGATGGGTGAACTATACCCACCTAGTGTCCTAGTTATTTACCTCGGAGAAAATGATTGAGGGGCCTGCAGGATTCAGAGGGGCATGGGATGGATTAGACAGTCACAGCCAAACATGAAATTGGTTTGGTTAGAAATACTCACGAAGCATGTATGGCAGGGAGCCATCAATCTTTTTGGATGCAGGTGGCTCAGTGATTACACACAGGGTCATCCAGTACAATGTGCTGGAGGTTTTTAAGGGATGAAGGAGTGCACTTGTCTGGGGCTGACATTTTGGCTGTGGATTGGATTAGGTAAGAAACAGATCCCACCTGGTGCTTAAACCCATCTCTGTGTCATTCTTTCATTCACCCGGGCACCTTGATCAGTGAATGTTTCTCACTGTTCAGTTATGAGTCTGCCCCCACACAACTGAAACAGGCAAAACTCCCACTCCTCCTGACCATGAAGAGCATAGGATTGGTTCTTAAGAAGTGACTAAATTTAACATTATTTTCTAGTCCTGTCCTTTTTACATTCACCATTTCTCCTCTCTTCTTAGTTTAGTAATTCAGGCCAAATTCAGGACCTGATCTGACAATGCATGTTAAATGCAAAGGAAAGATTCCCATTAACCTTCTGTGGGTGCTGGATCAGGTTCTCCAGCGCTATGTGCTTTTAACACAGCCAAGGGCAAATTGTGTTCACGTTGACCCTTACAAGTGGGTGCAATATCTGCCTGGATTATGCATGCCAGTTGTAGGGGAGGTGAACAGAAGATGTTAGCACTTGGGCTAAAAAGTACAGACTTTACCCTTTGAACCCAGGCCCTGTTGAAGACTTCTTCTTGCCATATGTCCATACACAAATGATCTGCAAAGTGTGAACTCTGCAGGTTTTGAGGGAAGGCGCAAAAGAGGAATTCTCTGTTTCTCTTCCTGACCATGGTGTTTTGGGTGAGAATTTATGTGCAGCTTGAGGACTGGCCGTAGAGATTTAAAAGATGCTCCTCAACCCTATATAATACAGATATATTCCCAATTACTGACTTTGGTTAAAACAAATTTCTTCTCAGAGGCTAGTATCGACTGACATCCAAAGCCTTTTTTTAGATATTAGTGGCCAGAAAATGGATACAATTCAAATACAAGCCTTGAGACATCAGAACAGCAGTGAGGAATATACTACTATAACCGAGAATAAATGACATGCTACTAATCTGAATGTTCAGTGTGTTAATTTAAAGCTCTATATCATGAAGTGAAACATATTCATGAATTGTTCTAATGAGCATACACTTTTAATTTTGTAGAAGTTTAATCAATGGAAGACATTTTTATCTATCATTTATCAGCATTTGAATTTTAATGAATAGTTCTGTTGTTAATTACTGAATTTCTATGTTTAGAGAAAACACGCACAAATAATGAGTAGTTGACATTTGGATATTCATAAATATTCTTTTTGTATGAAATTATCAACAGAACTATGCATTCAAGTCTGAACGTAGATAATGAATTTATTCATTAAGTTTGATTGAGGGTGGAGATCTAATCATCATTCCTTCATGAATCTGATCACATACCCAGAAAATATACTCAGAAGAGGTCAGAATTGTCACGTTGAATAGCATTCATAACAAAATTTGATTCTTCATATAACTGACTTTTTAAAGTATCTGATTAGACTACCAAAACTAGCTTCATCATACAGCTTTACTGACTGGTTCCTCTGGGACTGGCTCCTAGAATGTGAAAATAAGAATGGAGAATAAAATCTTAACAAAATTCATGGAAGTTCATTTCCCTTGGCACAGTATGTGCTCAATGTTGTAGCATAAAAGGAATTTCCTGGGCTACCTAATGGCAAAGGGAAGCAAATCCTCTTAAATTCACACAGTAGACTCAGCTTACACATAAGCCATTATAAGCAAAAATGTATATTTCAATACTTAGTTATGTTTGCAGAATATCTTTTATGCAAAAAAGCTGTTTTATTTCTTGGGAAGAAATCTGAAAGGTTGAGACCTCAATATGACTAACAGTAAAGGCTGATATAACTAAAAAGAACTATGTGCCATTCATGCATAATAAGACACATAAGCTTCAGGATAGCTAAAATGACACTTCAAGTTCATGATGAGAGTAATAAACAACACTATTATTATTGGGCATTTCTTTTTAGTTGTCACCTAATTGAAAAAAAATTTGAACACAATATTGTACACGAAGTGAGCCAGCTTCAAATTAAAATAATGTATACATTATCTAAATTTAACGACTCTAGCGGATTAATCAAAGCTGTCACAGTTTCCTAGTCCAGAAAGCATTTACACAAGCAAGCACTTTTTTTTGTTAAAAACCATGTTGCATTTTTGCCCCATCTCTGAAATTTATAATGAGCTCTGTGCCCTGGGCTGGATTTACACCTTGGGCACACCTAGGCCAATGAGAACTGCGGAGCTGGCACTTGGGGTGAGAGCAGCATGCGGAGCTTCCCTGATTGCCCCTGCGTCTAGGGGCTGCAGGGACATGCTGGCCACTTCTGGAAGCCGTGCAGATCCAGGGCGGGCAGGGAGTCTTCCTTAGCCCCGCTGTACCACTGACTGGACTTTTAATGGCTCGGTCTGCACCGCTGACTGGAGCTGCCAGGGTCCCTTTTTGACCAGGTGTTCTGGTCGAAAACCAGATCCCTGGCAACCCTAGCCGGCCTCCCCCTCTGCTGGGACCGAGGAGTGGCAAAATTTGAATTTTTAGGTGCCTCCAGAATGCTGGTGCCTCTAAGCATGTGCCTACTGTGAAATCCAGCCCTGTCAGTGATATGCTAATTTTGTTTTCCTGTAGTAAAACAGCTCTAACGGTGATATTCCATTCCTTATGATTTAGCCTGTTT